GAAAGAGCAGTTGGAAAGAAATAACTCCAGGAGGACGAGGTATCTCTTGACACTGCCATGAATTTTTCTCCAAACCATTACATGGAGTTTCATTTATATCAGCACTAGAAAGGACTGGAGAAAAATGCTTAATTGCTTAAGGCATATGACAAGAGGAAGAAGTTGGCAAGTTAGCATGCCCTTTTTTCTTTGAAGAAGAATAATAAGAGGGCAGATGACTGCTTAAATATTAGCATCGCATTGTGACAGAGTTTCCAGGGCTTGCTTAAAGGAAGGAAATTTGCATTATGTATGTACATCAGAGTGACAGCCATGCCGGCCCTTAACAAATGTGATGCACGAATACACCTTCAGCTCCTATCCTAGGCAAGCTGTAGGACACCTGCAGAAACAGGTGGGAGGGAAGAGGAAGAATTCTCTGTAACACATGCAGAGCATTAGATTCAGAGAAAAATCCAACATTTACGTATGGTTGAAAGGTTTCTTTTTCTTCCCTTTTAAAAAGCAACATAAACTCCTAACTGAGATACATCTTAAGTTCTGTGATGACAGGACAGACCAGTGAGACCCGGAGTTAATCTTCATTGTTGCAGGAAAGGGCAATGAAATGAAGCAAGCTCCTATAGAACTGTTAGCTTAATATCTGCCATGCAAAAATAATAGACGCATTTTTACTCTAACACCTTAACGGGCATAATTTGATTAGGAGCAATTGTGCAATTCTTGGAGGGAAATTTCTGCATACAAATGAATAGTAATTATCTTGCTGAAAGATAAGAAAATTAAAGACAGGCCCTAATTCTCTAAAAATTACTCAACTTCAGGGGTTGAGAGACCTGATGCTTCTGACATCCTGTGCTGCAGGGCTGGTTGTTTCCAGATGACTGCGGTGGCTTGTTGAATTTCAGTTTCAACTTTGAAAGTAAATTTTAAATTAATTTTAATATTTTTTTTTGTGACTATCATATGGATTATTTAAATCCAAGTATAGAGTAAGTTGCTTACCTACAATATGAACATTCTGACTGTAACAAAAGTAGAAAAGACTAGTGAGATTATTTCTGAAGTATCTACATTTTACAGGTGAGTAAGCTCTAGTGGAAACTTATCTTTACATGCCTAGGATAGTAAATGAGTGTGAAGTATGATCTTACTAGCCATGTGCTAAAAAAGCCTGCAAAATGTGTGAAAGCATCTTTCATAGTGCATCAAGTTCAGTGTAAAAAGCCAACTTCTCGTGAAGCTCCTGTGAAAACTGCTGATTTTAAGAAAGGCAGAAGTCACCATTTTTCCCCAATCCTTGCAGAAGATTAGAGTCTCCAAATACAATTAAAAAGGGTCAGAAAAGATGCTGATAGGAATTTGATACAAGCAGAAAGAAATGATACCAATAGGTTTGTAGTTGGCAAGACGCAAGGAGAGAAGGGGAGAGACAGGCATTAGAAGCATTAGCAGGAACAATTCCCAAGGCCAGTAAATATCAGGGGGCCCCAAGGCAGTCAAAAGCAGAGTGAAGAGATTTAGAGTCAAGGCATTCAAAGGGTCTACTTAATTTGACCAGAAGACAGTCTCACATTTCAAGGTTTCTTCTTCAGTACAGCTAAGCTTTTCAATGGGAGGCCTTGACCCCAGGGATCACTAACTGAAGAAAACAAATGTGTTTTCAAATGAATGTATTGGCACTGTCAGAACTGACTGTACACAAGATTAAATGATATTTATTTTCACTTTCCAGAATACCATGTTAAATTTTAGAGAGACAGACAGACAGAAACCTTTCCAAATAAGACATGAGAATCTGACCATCAGATTTTCTGTGTCAGCTGGGATTCAACAGCAGAATTTCTGTTAACTGATCTGGCTAAGCCTCCTTCCAAAATGTCAACCTGAGGCTTTCTTGCCTTCAGCGGTCTTGGTGAGGGTGGCAGGAGGGGACACGTGCTGTCAGTCTGTTTCAGTTCCTTCATTGCTTTTCCTCGCTTTCTCGCAATGGTTTGGATTTTGGTCTGGCATTTTGGAATTGTACAGATGTGATTCCCTGACTGAAACAAACAGAAGTCTGCCTGCCTTTGATAAGGAACAGAAGAACTTAAAAAAAAGAAAGTGATTCTGGGTACCCATCCTGAGATACTCTAAAAAGGAAACCTCGGTTGCAGGAAGTGGATGCCAAGCCAATTGCCAAGAACCATGGCACCCAAAATAACAGCTGAAAGTCTTGGAATACCCTTGGCCTGCTTCTGCATGTGGATGAAGCAGATCAAAATCTATTCTGTTCTGCATCTTACCAGCTTTGAGAAGCGTTGCCCGCTTGAGGATTTAGGTTGTATCTTCTTCTTTGCATCAGGTAAGGAAAATGAAAGTTACAATCAGATTGAGTGTCTTTGTGGCTTCCCATGGAAGAACCCATTCAGAAGTTATGTGGTTGACATTACTATACAAGAAATGTGATCAGCATAAAAATATAAATAACTGTTTAAACAACTGCTTGTTGTTGTCAGTCAAGAGAAACCCAGAAGACATGAGGAGTGTTTCACTTGGTCTCCCATGTCTTTCATGCCACGCATGGGTAGTTTTGCCTAAACTACATGGACACATGACTTACTGTTTCTGAATATGTGGGTATGACAGAGTGTGTACAGTCCACTTAACTTAAAAAGTTAAATAAACCACCGTAAATCAGGACAGGTTAAACTGGCTTGGAACTAAACCAGGGAAAGATACATCAACCTTTGCCCTTTCATAGGCTGAAAAAATAACACCACTTCCGTATCCTCCAACAAGCTCATGACAACATGCAACAGGTTCTGCCGCATGTCTGCATAGGGGAGTTTGCTCACAGTTCATCTGCGTATTCCTTAAGACAAAGATACTTCAAAATCTATTTTGTGCTTCTACCTTAATCGCGCTTGAGCAGCTTCACAGCCTTCTTGGGTTCCATAGGAACCCAGCAGGGACTGTGTTAAACGCAAGGCAAGATGGGGACAGTGGAAGAGAGAGATGGAGCCCAAGGGAAGGTGGCCTATGACAGACCAGATAATTTCAGATAAACTCTACTAGTAGACGTCTGATGTTTATACACAGTGCTATTTCAAGGCCACTTTCCACTCTGTATTTGAAGATATCCCCATACTCATGTACGTATGGACCCGCTAGCAATTTCATGAGCATTCCTGAGGGACTTGTGCTTACTCACTGTCCCAAAACAGACTAGTGTATAGTGAACTAAATTTAAAATCCAGAAATTGCGTTCCCAAAAGGAGACCAATAAGGGCAGAGAAGATACCACGGGCACCACTACTTCAGCAGAAAATGAGCACATGAATAAGGTGAAACTACAGTGAGGGCTTCAGAATAACCATGAATTTTGAGGAGTGAATATGTACTTGTTAGTAAGAGGTATGACAAAGCAGGAAAGTGGGTCTCACAAAGCACAGACTTGTTGGGTCAAGTGTCCTTTTCCTGTTTGGCAACTCCTTTTGTCTCTGTGTCCTCCTTATCATTCTGACACCTTACCAAAGCACACAATGACAGACAGCTCTTAATGACTTCCTAGTGTTTGATTCTGATACGTGGGCCCAACCCTTTTTTGCATAACACGAAAGCCTCTATTCCCCCGTGAATTTCCACTTTAGAACCCATGTCCACTTCCAAACACACAGGTCCCCACTCCCACCCTGCAATCCATGTCAAGGCGAACATGCTCTTGTCACACCTTGCTTGAATCAGCCAGCTGAAGCCAGCGCTTCAGAACAGATGGACTGACAGCTGACGCTGTGTCAGCAGCCAGCGGGGCTGGTATCACCCTCCCCAGGAGATGAGAACATCCTCTCTTGGGCGCACCCGCTCCCACATCGCACAATTGGGGCTATTGTTCCCTGTGTCCAGAAACCAGGTTCCATCCTGCATCATCTCTGTGCACTGCCACCATCCTTCCAGACTTGGAAATACTCTTTTTTCCCTCTCCTAGCGTGCTCATTAGGTGATACTCTTTCCAGTATCTGAAGGGTGCCTACAAGAAAGCTGGAGATGGATATTTTACAAGGGCATGTAGTGATAGGATGAGGGGTAAAGGCTTCAAACTGGAAGAGGGTATATTTAGATTAGATATGAGGAAGAAATTCTTTACTGTGAGGCTGGTAAGACACTGGAACAGGTTGCCCAGAGAAGTTGCAGATGCCCCATCCCTGGAAGTGTTCAAGGCCAGGCTGGATGGGGCTTTGAGCAAC